TCAAAAGTCTTCATACTTTACTTCGCCAATATCCAATGATCCTTCATAAATTTAATATATTTCCAGCGTCTACTAATTGGTTGCAAGACAAACAGATGACTATTCCTATCGTAATCATAGGAGCATGTGAATTACCATCTGAAAATCGTACCGATTTCGCGCGTTAAAATACTTTTATTTTCCCTGAAATACATTAAACGAGCTCAAATTCATCATTCTTTCCACTCTCCAGGAGTTTCGCCAGCATAAACTCGTGGCATATTGCAATATTCAGTCCATTTATGTGCTATAAATATATATGATCGATGGGAATATAGTTTATATTATATTAATGCTTCGGACCTACTAATTATATATTGTACATTATAAATGGGATTCAGTCATAACCGAATAGGAGTCTCTGATTCATCTTATTGAAGTGAACAAGAAAAACACATTCGTCCAAATAAATAAATCGCAAACGTATTTGGAACAGAGTGACATATGCAAAAAATAACCTGACTAGCTGTGACCAATCAACATTAACTTTCATATTCAACCCTCTATTCATTTGTTGCACATCAATCATCCCACTTTTTGATGTTATGATCGCGCGTAGTTGGTTTCTAATTTTTGAACCATTACCTTCTCGAACCTACCTCTCTAGAAATTATAAAATTCTCTAAAGCTTTTGAATTTCACAACAATTATTCTACTCTATTTCACTTAAAAAGATGTACGATAACCCCGTGTCAACTGAAGTTGAGGACTTGTTTGCGTGCTTCGAAAACTTCAATGCACTTACCGATTTCGAAACGCAGATACAAGCTCTCTATGACAACGACATTGACATGAACATTGATGCCCATTACCCAAGTTTAAACGAATGGGACGATATGCCTATATTTAACACCCGCCCTTTTCCTGTTAGTTCACCCGAAGCAAACTCGATCTCAACAGTCGGCTCTCCAAATTCGTATTGTGACGATAATATATCGCTGCCTACTCTATCCCCAGCGCCAACAACGGTGAACGATACTTTTCCAGAGTTTCAATATTCTACAGTGGAAGAACCATATGATCAGCAGTCGCAAATAAAATCTGAATTGGGAGTACCAGCAGTGGTTGAGAATGTAAAGAAACGCCAGAATGTGGAGGATGATTCTCTCCTGGCTGATGATAATGACGACGACGAAAATACGAAAAAGAAGCGGAGAGCCTCGATGAATACAAAGTATAAGAAATCGAATATTTCGCCTAAAGTGACGAAGAAGAAGCAATATTATAAGAATGATGACAATAACGCGGCAATGCCATTTGTGGATGGCATGCAAGTTCCTCTCTGCGTCGACGGACCAGCCGTAATGCCTAATGTACAGAGTATTGTTGTACCGAACTCTCCAGTATCTGGAATTCCTCCCAACTACAATGCAAATGCTTTGCTGGGGCTTGGACAAGGGGTATGGTCAGGCGATGTCTCTCCACAGCCGACTGGCTTTGTTCCTATCTTCAACAATGATGGGCCTAGTGGTGTCCCTGGTAGGTTGGTAATTCTAGCTGATTCCGGATAACACATATTTCTAAATGTTAATACTTTGTTTATCGTTAACTTTTTTTAAGATATGCCGGCTCAATTCAACATATCCCTGCTTGGTGGGAAAGTACCAATACAAAGAATAAAGACATCTGCATCACAGCCCCTCGCGAATGCAACAAATCAGCCAACCAAACAACAGAAGAAGATCGCTCATAATGCTATAGAACGTCGCTACAGAAATAATATCAATGATCGGATTAACGAGCTAAAGAATGTAGTTCCAGCCCTCAATTATCAAAAAAATAAGGATAATAAAGATGATGAGGAAGAGGATGAAGAGGAAATAGATGGGATTCCAGCTGCTACTAAACTGAACAAGGCTACTATATTGAAAAAGGCTACTGAGTATATTATACATTTGAGAAAGATCAACCAGAATTTCAAAGAGGAAAACGAGAATTTGAAGAGGATTCTGGAAGCCTTTCCCGGCGCCGCTGACCTCTATCAAGAATATATCGACAATCGACATCCTAGTAATCCTCTGACACCAGAAGATATATCTTCATCTGCTTCGGATCCACCAACACCACCAACTTCGTCAGGCGTCGGTGCAGGGACCCGCATGCTTATGGCTATCTTCATGTGCATGACATTCTTTTCGCCACCGTCCGACTATGGTCAACCTGATCATACGTCTATGGTGCATCATCATCACGAGGCACGTGTCTCAAGTGCACATCCGAATGGCATGCCCAACATTCCCAAGGCTAATTCAGGCTTTTTTGGTGATGGTACAATAACCATCGATATATGGTGTGTTTTATGTAATCTTTGTTAATATTACTCTTCTCACAACTAACAATAACACGTAATGTAATATCTTTCTATAGGTATTTAATACGCGGCATTACATTTATTATGTTGATGATATATATCCTACGGCCGTCATTCCTTAACAAGTCTCGTCGAGTACAAAAACCCAAACAACATATAGCTTCCGTCTTGGCGGCAAAAAACAAAGACGTCAGAACACAATTTGCTGCTGTTACCGAACTCACCTCTTATGCCCCGAACAATTCGATGGAAATTCTTTTCGGAATAACAGTTGAATCATTCAAGTTTTTTATAAGACGCATTCTAGGATGGGATATTACTGTTAGCCAAGATAACGAAGAGAAATTGTGGGAAGTCGCTTTGTGGAACAGACAGGGCGAAGTAGAATTGAGTGGAGGTAAACTTATCACTTTATATAATGCGCTTCATGTTTCAAAAAAAAAAGCATTTGATTGATCATGTTGTCTTACGATGATTAATTTTGTGTATTCCATAGGCAATGACAAGGTTTCCCGTTTTTCTGTCCTTTACGTATGTCTACGTACTATCAATCTCTTCGAGACTACCTGCATAACCAGGAAGTGCATCCTCGCAAGTCCATCCCGTATATATATCAACGCTGCATTACAGAGTTATATCGGACTTCAGTCCATGCCGTTCATTGCTCAAAAGGTAGCAGCGCACTTTTGGGGACGTGCAATCAAGGAACAGGGACGTGATGGTCATGAAGATAAGTGGACGGAAATTGCTTTGACAACCAAGCAAGGAAGCAATCTCTGGAAAGATGCTGCGAATCGCGTTTTCGAACAGGCCTTCAAACCACAAAACATAACCGACGATATTACCAGAAGTGCGACCATTCCCCTTACCCGAATCTCAGATGCTCAATCTCTGGCTCATCTCAAAGATGCCTACCTCAAATTCATCTCGCAAAACTATGGAAAGAAGAAACCTCGAAAGAGCAAAGACATTTTCGCTGATATACTTAGTGTTACAACACATGCTTCCTCGACGCACTGGTATGCGTTTGTTGGTAGTACAATCGTTGCCTTCTTGAACGGAGGTAAGCCGATTGATGACAAATTGATCAATCAATTAAAGGAGAAATTTCCCAAAAGCGAAAATACCAATACGCAAATATTAGCAAGAGGGTTACTTTCTCATGCTTTTTTAATGTATGGAAAGATTGAGGCATCAGTTAGATGTGCGGAAAAGGCAGCAATTGCTGTGAAACGTCGAAAGGAAGAACTCTTAGATGACATGGCTGTAGACGAAGAGTCTGAAATTAGTGAATTGGAAAAAAAAGTTCATGATTTGGCGGAATTCTGCGTTGGTTGGATTGTGTTGGAAGCAAGAGTGTTAGGATGGAAAGCAATTGAGAATCTGTCCAAGGATAATAAGTCGTTAAAGTTACCAGAAGTGCTTGATCCTGAAATTTGCCTAAAACCAGCGGTTTACGAATGGTTATTATATATGCGTAGATTAGTGAATGTGGATACATTTCTTGGTGTTGCGGAGGAGGTGCGCGAAGAATCTCTAAAAAGGTTGCACGCTTTGACTAGATTAATAGGTGAAGTCGATGAGGAAGATGATTCAGGTTATGAAGGCGAACAAGAGAAGGAGAATGAGGATAATAAAAATGCTGATAACAAGGCAGTGCGTGCATGGTCTATTTTGAAAGGCACGTAATTAGATCATTATTATTCATTATTATTCATTACATGTTTCTCTATGTATATTTAAATAATATAGTGGTCGATAATAAGATCACGAATTAATACACTAATAAAACAAATCTGAAAATTACATATGTTGGCAAAGTACGTTTACTATTCTTTGAATAATCAAAAATTTGCTTTAGGGGTCATCTCTTCCTGTATAACCCGTATAACGCCTTCTTGGGCCGTTGATGCTACCAAACGACCATCTCTAGTGAATATACGACCGAATACAAGACCTCGTCCATTAGCACTTTGCGGGGATTCCATTTCACATAGTAACCTATTGCATAGATATACCAATCCATTAATGATGTTTCAATAATACACAGATGAACAAACAAGCTTTCGGAACCGCAAATACCATTCGTCTGCTCTGGTATTTGGATCATGAAACCAAACTGAATGACAAAGGGAGGCCATCATCATTTGGGTAAATGGTGTCAACGCATGAGGACGAATAGCGGTCAAAAGGAAATTATCGTCACTAGCATAGGCGAGTGCACACTACAAGATAAAAAAGATTGAAATCTTAAGGAAGCTCGTCCCAATACATTCTGCTAACATAAACATATCATACCTTATGCAAGGCAAGGTTATCTCCAAGATTGCCTTTGGCTTTCATCCACACATACTATTTATTATATAATATTTGTGAGTATCGTGATTGTGGTTGCATTTTTTCGCATCATTACTTGCCTGTTTCGTTGTACTTCTCGGATGAGTGAGCTCCTCAAATTCTATTCTATCAGTAGTGCGAGAGTCAACAGGGTATTTGATCTATTTAAGATGAAGTGCATGGTGCCGTATAAACAGGCTAATCGGTGCACATATGAAACGCTCACAATATATTAATATGTACCTGAGTAGCGAGTCTCTTTTCCACATAAGATTTATACCACTTGGGAACTTCGGGGTGATTTGACCAAGACTTTAATCTCTCTACGAATCTGTTATTAGGTTGTTCAGTCATGTATATACGATTTGCTTTGGT